GCATATTTTATGGTAAAAAATTATACAGAAATGTTTATTTGAAGGATCTAGGAGGGATGTACGAAATCATCCTTACGAGCTTTATGCTCAGTGAGTTAGATTAGCGGTTTGGTGGAGCTCATTCTAAAATTGAAACCTAATCATATATTCTTAGTTGCCTAAATAGAAGAAGATGCTTCATTAATTCTCTCGAATACATTTAAATCGATTTCAAATATTCAACCAATTGTCAAATTTCTACTCATTCTCTTAGTCGGCTTTAGTTTTATTAGTTGCATCTTGCAACAGTTTTTGATAACAAATATAGCTAACGATGGTGTTGCTGCAATCAATTACAATACGATAACTCCAATTCACCACATGTTTCTGAAGAAAAAGATCATAAATAAAACATGAAAAGTTCTCGATTGATTTATATTTCAGGAGTCACAACATACTAATTAATAGACGCTTAAATCCAGAGTATAAAATCAGACACCCTTTCCCGGAATTTCTTGATGTTTTGGAGTTTGAACATAGATAAGAGCCATGTTAGAACCGCTATTATTGCATACTTCTAAACTTCCAATCATCCTTTTGAAAAAGATATGTTATCCCCAAAGATTGAATTTATGGTCTTATTTCTCCCTTTTACCAAAAAAAGTGGAATCTGTGGAATACGATTTTAGTTTCGATTTTTGCATAATTAGGTTAAGAACAACCATTACGAACAAAACCTCGGTTTCCACAGAGTGCACATTTTTTGATAAATTCGATGAATAATACTATATACTCAATCCATTGGGGTGTCATATAATAAATACTGAAAGAGAGTCTCTCCTTCAAGCTTAGGAATGTGAAATAATCAATGTTCAACAACGGTTCTTAACTATGTAAAAATCAGCAAATTAAATTTATAGATGTGAACTTTTGGGAGTAAGGAAAATGGCCTTGTGAGAAAAAACGATAATGGTATCTATTGAAAGCCATGCCTGAGGACACAAGCATCCGCCGAGACGCTTGTCGTCTCGGCCAAGTGGTAGTCTCGTGTCGCAAAGGAGGCTTCGCCGTTGGCCCATGTGGTCCCAGCTATCGCAGCAAGGAGCCCGCCATGCCGGTACGGCACGGCAAGTAGGTAGTCTCGTGTGTCGCCGGAGACTTCGCTTGTCCACCAGTGGTCTCCCCTGCCGCAGCAAGGGACCCGCCGAGACGCTCGTCGGCTCGGCCAAGTGGTAGTCTCGTGTGTCGTCGGTGGCTGTCTGGATGTCTGGATGTTTGGAAGTTTACTTATTCTATTTAAAGAATTCGACTAAATGACTCTATTAAACGACTATCAATGCAGGTTCTTAATTTATATGCAAAACCCCTGAAGTACAATAGTAACGTAAGACTTCTTCATAATATTATCTGACGTTTTATTCGGTGTCTAAAACCGATTCGCAATTTATTACCTTGTTCAACCAACTGAATCTTAGAATGATTTCTGGTATAATTCTTTCCAACCTAGATCCACCCAAAATGCGGAGAACCATGAATGTACATCAATTAGAAATTTCGCCCATCAGACAGTTGAAACAATCAAATTTATTGTAGAGATAATACTATATAAATAAATAATTTTCATAAACTACTTAGAAATCAATCGCGATATTCAAAATAAAAGTTTAAATCAAAATACCAAACAATACAATGACTACCATACCCGACAGCAACAATCCTGTACCAACAACCTTGGAACCCGAACCTTCAATGGGCAAAACGGTAGCACTTGGTGGGACTGATGTTTCAGGTGAAAGAGTTACAATCAATGTTTTGATATCTCCAGATGTTGAGTCAGATTTGACTGGGTCTGGGTCCTTGGTGGTGGTATCTTCTGAACCCCCAGAAGTTGTTGTTTTACTAGAAAGCAATGACAGTAAACTTGTTGATAATGGATCAGTAAAAGATGATTTCTCCGAAGAAACACTTGGTCTTGTCTCAGGATCTGTATTTGAGTTGGTCGATTCCGAAGGATCTGATTTCGTCGATGACTGAGTTGTTGTAGGTGAAGTCTGTTGAGTCTCTGAGGGTGGAACTGGATCGGCGGTAGTTGGTGGTAATCCTGAAGTAGCTGATTCAAGCTCTGAAGTAGTCGATTCCTGGACTGAGGTAATGTAAGTTTCCGAAGCTATCAGTTCTGCATGTGGACTAGTTGATTCTTCTTCTTCTGAAGAAGTTGATTCCGGATTCGGTGTAGTTGAGTCCTCTGAAGTAGTTGGTTCAGGTTCTGAAGTTTTTGATTCTGGATCTGGTGCAGTTGAACCTAGTTCTGAAGTACTTGACTCAGGTTCTGATATAGTTGAATCTGTTTCTGACATGGTGGACTCTGATTCAGAAGTAGCAGAATCTTGTGGGGATTCCGATGCAGTGGATTCTGGTTCAGTAGCAGTTGACTCTGGCTCAGAAGCGGTTGAACCGGATTCTGAGTTAGTGGAGTCTGGTTCCGAAGTTGTTGGTTCCGGATCCAGATCAGAGATTGTTGTCCAACGGTCGTCACTAGTAGTAATCGTAAATGTTCTAGTACGGTCTCCTGTTGTCTGGGTTGAAATAGTGGGCAATGTTCCTGGTACGTTGGTTTCTCGGGTGTTACAATCACATGTGTGATGAAAAGCCTGGGGCGGGATTTCAGGATAACTTATGATGATATCGTCATCCTGCGCTTCAACTTTAAACAATCCCGGATCATAATTAAATCCTATTTCAAGTTCATATACTTTGGAATCAACGTTGATCTTTAATGCCAGTATCTCATAACTGTAGTCAATAGACGAAGCGTTCCATCCTTGAAAAATCACAACGTTATCACCACCAAAATATGACACGACGGGGGTCAGCAGCAATCTTGGTTTAAAGATAAACGTTGATCCGCCAAGTGGAGAAAAGTCAACATACTTCATATCACCGTTAGCAGTCAAAGTAGAACCCAGAAGTAGTTGTATACATCTCAGTTGCAGACCCCCGAGAGATTCGATCTCGACATCAGCACCACTTCCAAGACAAAACTGTCCTGGGTTTTCCAATGTCAGGATCCGAAGGGGACCCAGTTCCCAAACTAGACTGCGACGATTTACAATATAGTTGATCAGGGGTACATGTTGGCTTCTTTGGAAATTGGAAAATATTATTTCCCCATAGTTAACAATTTCAAGTACTTCGAAATCACTAATTGCCATTGTGCCAGCATCTATCTGGACTTTTCCGAGGTTCCCAATTCTCAGGAATTTCATTGAGCATGTGTCACTCTGGGGAGGTAATGTGGCCGTGAAGAAAAAAGTTGACTCTTCAGAAACGTGAATTTCAAGTGTGAACAGGTCTCCGTAAAAATCCACAATGGATAATACTCCTCCTTCTAAAATAACGTAATCCTCTTCAGCCTCAAACTTCTCACCTCTCAAAATTACCAACTCATCCACAGAAATACAATTTGAGAGTGATTGGAAAAGTAAAATAATTAGTAGTAGATGTAGATAGTTTAACATGACGTTCTTGGTTAGTCAAATGAAATGGACGAAATTTTTTAAAAAAGATAATATTTGCAGTATTGCTGATGTATTTATAGTAATTTTTACCAAGTTGTCCAATAGGCTTTAGGAAGAGGGATGACCTTAATCCTAATACATCGATGAGAAGTTATTTATAGTTTTGAAGAATGCCGTTCATTTGATCATATGATGATTTTTGAATTGTTGCAAAAATAATAATAAGCTAAAATAATAATTGAAAAAAAATAATTTTAAAAACAAACCAAAAAAATAATATAAGCGGATTTTGTAGGGAAAATATTTAGTACGTCATCTGTTTTGATGTGAAGATTTATGAAGTTACAATAAAAGAGTGATCACTTATTGTTTACATTTTTGTCATGCATGTTGTCATCGCTTGCTATCATACGGCGTTACTTGCCTGTAGAAATTTGAACACATCGAGGCGGCAGATTTGTCAGATACTCGGCTGTTACCTGGATTATGCCACCTGTTAATTAATTTTTGTTCTTTCAATCCTGACATGTATCATGCTTAATCAGATGCCAGGGTAGTAATAATCAGAGTTCAAATACTCCTTTGTAGGCTAGGCTCGGGGATACACATTGGGTTGAAGTTGATTATCCATTTTAAAAACCCACCAAATTGGGGGCCATAATAGCACAACTCCTTTTTCTCTGAGAAATCGAATCAAAAGGAAAAAGGAAAGTAAATACAATCAAGCATCATTTATTGTTGTTTATTCTGGCGATTAGTTCCCAGATTTAAAAGTAACGAAATATTTAACACTAATTTTGAGCACATTGGGAATTATGATGACATCTTATTCAAGAAACGAGTTGTGTTTGTTCTAGATTTGTGATATCCTATACACTCTTCGTAGAAAGTTTTATAGTAAAAAAATTAGATGGAAATCTTTATCTTTAATTGAAGGGAATATGAGGAATGCAAAAATAGAAAATGATCCTTATGAGCTTTGTGGTTATTGGTTTAGATTAGTAAGTTGGTTGAGTTCATTGTAAAAATTTGAAGCCTTGNGATCCTTATGAGCTTTGTGGTTATTGGTTTAGATTAGTAAGTTGGTTGAGTTCATTGTAAAAATTTGAAGCCTTGAATGGATAGTCATAATGCTCCATTAATTGTCTCGAAAGAGCTTAATTTTAAGAAAACCTTCATATCACAAAGGCTCTCTATTTATAAAAATTTCAAAACCGTAACGTTACATGGCAATTTTTAATTTAGTTAGAGAAAAAAAAAATATAATTTACAGTAAAAAATCGATTGTCTAATAATTACAACAGACAATTTTTTTGGTCAATTTTTCAATTTTTCAAAGCACAACTCTATTTATCAATTGTGCAACTAATTAATAATAAAAATGTCCAAAGCATTTAGTGCACCAGGGAAGGCTCTTTTGGCAGGTGGATATTTAGTCCTAGAACCAATCTATAATGCCTATGTTACAGCATTATCTTCAAGAATGCATGCAATAATTACACCACTTGAAATAACTACCAATGACACCGTCAGAAGAATCAAAATTTCATCACCGCAATTTATGAATGGTGTATGGGAATACAATATCCAATCAAATTATGAACCACCAAAGGAAATCAATGGAAGAAAGAATCCATTCTTAGAAGCAGTTTTATTTATAGTACTAGCATATGCTCAACCTACCACCAACTACAATCTTGATATAATAATCTATTCAGATCCCGGATATCATACTCAACAAGACACCACCATTAAAACCTCCACCAATGGATCCAAAACATTCTTATATCATTCTCGACCAATTGAGCAAGTTGAAAAAACCGGAATGGGTTCTTCGGCAGGATTGGTCTCAGTAGTATCAACAGCATTATTATCATATTTCAAACCGGAAATCGTATCTAATAAAGATTATTTACATAATGTTGCTCAAATTGCTCATTGTTATGCCCAAAAGAAAATAGGATCCGGATTTGATGTTGCTGCAGCTATATATGGTTCTATTATCTATAAACGATTCCAACCTTCTATCATAAATGATATCATTCAATTACATGAATCAGCTGAACCAGATGTGTTTGTTAAAAGACTTAAGGAAGTGATTGAATCGAATTGGGATTTTACTCATATTCCATGTTCATTACCTCCCAAGATTAGATTATTAATGGGAGATATTAAAGGTGGATCAGAAACCCCGAAATTAGTTTCACAGATTCTTGCATGGAAGAAAAATAAACCCGAAGAAAGTAGCGAAGTTTATAAGAATTTAGATGAAGCAAATAATCAATTTATAGAACAACTTGAAAGATTACAATTGTTATATAATCAAGATGCAGAAACGTATATCAAGAAGATAAATGATGACCCATCATTTTTAGAACCACTTAAACAATCAATTCAAAATATGAGACATCATTTACAAGATCTAACCAAAAAATCTCAAACTCCAGTTGAACCTCCTATTCAAACAGAATTATTAGATCGTTGTCAAGACATTAAAGGTTGTTTAGGTGGGATTGTTCCAGGTGCAGGAGGATATGATGCTATTTCCATGTTAGTCTTGGATGATTATATTGAAACTGTGAAATCAATTACTAATGATAATTTGCAATATTATCATGAAGTAAATTGGGTTGATTTACATGAAGAAATTGAAGGATTAATTATTGAAAATATTGAAAATTACATCGGGTTATAAATCACGTGACGTATAGTTATGTCATTTTATGTTTACGAATGTGTGCCAAGAAAGTACAAAAGTGAATCTATAATACTTAAAGTTACAGCATCGTCATGTCTCAGCCTATTTTTAGATTTGCACTCTTAGAGTCATTCAAGTTTTTTAGTATGGGGGGAGGATAAGCCCAGGGCTTTACGATTTTACAATGACAAGAAAAAAAAAATAAATTTTAATTTTAATTTTCAAAATTTTGATTTGATACAAATACTTCGTAATGATGATTTTATATTCAATTGTTCTTACTTCTTCTTCTTAGCTTCAAGAGCTGTCATAGCTAATAGATATATATAACTAATATAGACAAAAATTACTATGTACTCATCATATAATAATAGAAGATCAGGATCTCCTCCAGATGGATCTCCAGATCAATTCGCATTCCACAACAATCATCACCAACAAATGTCCTACACACCAATACAGGGTCCAACAAGCCAACTTCACTCTCCTTTTAGTAACAATCAACAACAGCAACTACAACAATCGCAATACTTATACAGCAATAATTTGCACAATCAAGACGACGATAGTGAAGGATATGCTCCCTACATCAACGATACTGACGAGTCTCCCCCAGAATCACCAATCGTAAATCATATAATTTCCAACGAAACTTCGGATATCATCCCTATTCATGAAACTCAAACTGAAAGATCAACAAGCTCCCAATTCCAAACTGCAAATGATGAAAAGAAATATCGGAAATATTCAAGAATCTTTCTTGTCATTTCAATAATCTCAGCGGCATTAATCTTAGTATTTGAATCATATATGTTTGCCACTATAAATATTCATCATCGAGATCTTCCCAATAGTAGATATGTTGAAGTATCTATTTATTTTGCATTATTCATCTTTGCCGCGGTATTCCAAGTTGTAATCACCCTAATTGGTATCATAACCCGAAACATGTTATTATTATTATTCTTATGTGTATTTTATTGTTCGATGTTGGTATATACTGGTATCCAATATAATGAAGTTGCCACAAAAATAACCGGGATTTTAACAGGGGGATGGAAAACCGCCACTCACGCACTTAATATTGCCACAATTGGCGTGATTGCCGCAACATTAATTCTTCAATTTATCTTGTTGTTAGCAGTATTAAGAAATTATGTTGATTGGCTTACATTCAAAAAAGTGGGAGCTGATTTAACTTTGAGGAAAATGTATACCATATTTCAAATTCATAGATCAATCTTAATGTTTGATTTCTTTTTCTTCACGGGATTTACTATTCAATTTGTGGTGATTATGATTAATGATCGAACATCAGTTGAATTCATCCTAACAATTGTGGTTATACCACTCACGATTATCTTATTATTAGGAAGTGATATTTCCGCCTGTCGAGAATTTCTCCTTGGATCAATTCTTGCGATTGTGATATATCTTGGTGGAATGGGTTATGTATTATATAAAGTCATCAGATTGTATTCAAAAGGAAATACAGCATATGGATTAGTTCATGCACCTGGGGAATATTTCATGGGGAGGAAATCTTTGACGATATTTGCTGTATTCACTTTAGTGTTGTTGACAATTACAATTGTGTTGGAAGTTATGGTATTAAGGAATTATAAAATGGGGTTGTTACCGATTGTTAGAAGTTATTATAAATGGATTCCGGGATATAAGAAAGCCGAAACGGAAACAATTAATATTAGTGATACTGAAGATGAGTCAAAAGAAAGACCACAAACGCGTGATGATAGTAATAATTCAATTTGTATCGACTGATCTATCATCTGATGTTTTTCTCGAGTTTATATTGTTTAGATTATTTTTTAGTCTTTTTTTTCCAATGGAACAATTATTTTTTAAATCTTTCTCACATTTTATCCGAAAGGAAATTTATGAGTAAGCAAATTATTTTTTATGAAATAGCATCCTGATTATACAGGTGTTGCTATTGTTTTATTAAAAAATAAATGAAATTGAAAAATTCCCCTTCGGACAACCAAAATCCTTTCTCATCAAACCCCCCTATACCCCTTAAAACCATATTCGCATTTGAATTGATCAAACGTTTCATAAAGATTTTCCAAGATTTTAAAGTATCGTATCGTAATGAGATTGGGACGTATATAATATGTAAAGCATCAATTGACTTCATAGCAACTCAATTGACAGATGACTTACCCTGGAAAACACAAGGGGGGAATCAAACCGATATGGAATTGCCCTGCGTTGTTGCTTTATAATTTGGAATTTATAACAATAGACAAACACAATTCTTTAAAAATATTCAAATTTACTATATAAACAGCTGATGATTTCCTCATCTTTCAGATTTTTCATTTCATCTCTTCTTCTTTTCTTTCTCTCTTTATCAATTGCTACTCATAATTAAATGTCAGACCAAATTACATTAGGTAGATATCTTTTTGAAAGATTATACCAATTACAGATCCAAACCATCTTCGGTCTCCCCGGAGATTTCAATTTATCCCTCTTAGATAAAGTCTACGAAGTTGAAGATGCCCACGGAAAAGGATCCTTCAGATGGGCCGGTAATGCCAATGAATTAAATGCCGCCTATGCCGCCGACGGATATGCCCGATTGAAAAAAATCTCCTGCTTAGTCACCACCTTCGGTGTGGGGGAATTATCGGCCTTGAATGGTATTGCTGGTTCTTATGCCGAACATGTTGGTGTTTTGCACGTGGTTGGTGTTCCTAGTGTTAGCTCTCAAGCTAAACAATTATTATTACATCATACTTTAGGAAATGGGGATTTTACCGTTTTTCATAGAATGTCAACTAATATTTCTCAAACTACGGCATTTCTTTCTGATTTATCTAGTGCTCCTAAAGAGATTGATCGTTGTATTAGGGAATGTTATACTTCACAGCGTCCGGTTTATTTGGGATTACCTGCCAATATGGTAGATTTGACGGTTTCGGCTTCCTTATTGGATACTCCAATTGATTTATCGTTGGAACCTAATGACCCAGAAGCTCAAGAAGAAATATTGGAATCGATTGAGAATTTGGTTAATATTGCTGAAAGACCAATTATTTTGGTCGATGCTTGTGCTGCAAGACATGATTGTAAACAAGAAGTTAAGGAATTGATTGAAGTCACTCAATTCCCCGTGTTTGTTACTCCGATGGGTAAAGGTGCGGTTGATGAAGGTGGAGCAAGTGGGAATTTGGTAGAAGACGATCCTGATTTAGTTTCAAAAATTGCTAAAAAATTAACTGAAGGTAAAACCGCTGCTTCTAGATTTGGTGGGGTTTATGTTGGTACTTTATCAAAACCTGAAGTTAAAGCTGCTGTTGAAAATGCTGATTTGGTTATTTCTTGTGGTGCGTTATTATCTGATTTTAATACCGGTTCATTCTCCTATTCTTATGGAACTAAGAATGTTATCGAATTACATTCAGATCATACCAAGATTAGACAAGCCATCTTCAAAGATGTTAAAATGAAAGAATTGTTACGTCATTTAAGTAAAAGACTCGCACCAGTTGTCGCCACAAGTCATAAAGTCCAACCAGTTCCAAAGATCAAAATGATAAACACCCCAGCTCCAAAACATACAAAATTGACTCAAGAATGGTTATGGACCAGAGTTAGTTCTTGGTTTAGAGAAGGTGATGTGGTTATTAGTGAAACTGGTACTTCCTCATTTGGTATTCCACAAACCAGATTCCCCAATAATGTGACTGGGATTTCTCAAGTCTTGTGGGGATCAATTGGATATTCCGTTGGTGCTACATTAGGCGCCGTAATGGCTGCCCAAGAACTCGACCCCAAGAAGAGAGTTATTTTATTTGTCGGTGATGGGTCATTACAATTAACCGTGCAAGAAATTTCCACCATGATTAGACATGGTACTACTCCATATCTTTTCGTATTGAATAATGATGGATATACTATTGAAAGATTAATTCATGGTGAGAATGCCGGATATAATGATATTCAAAATTGGAAGAATTTACAATTATTAGATACTTTTGGTGCTCAAGATTATGAATCGGTTAGAATTTCAACTATTGGTGAAGCAGAAGCTATTTTCACTGATAGGAAATTTAACGAGAATACTAAGATTAGATTAATTGAAGTTATGTTACCTAGAATGGATGCACCTAAGACATTGGTTGATCAAGCTATGATCACCGCCAAGATCAATAAAGAAGGTTAGAGAGACATACCGCCATGACAGCGTGTCTTTGAATGAAAAGAGATGATGATAAATGTATAGTTTTACAGTTTTTTTGTTTTCTTCTTGTTTTGTTGAATCACTCTTAATGAAAGTTTTTGATTTGTATAGTAGGCGATATCTTATTTCTATGAGTTCTTCTAATCAATTCGTTCATATATTCAAAATTTTTTGACTTCCAAAATCTGTGTTAGCCTAATTCTAAGAATTATCATGCTATTTCAAAGAGACCATAAGAGAGCAAATCACCCCCCGCCGTTTGTCGCGGAATCCTCCCTTGTTCTGCTACCGAAACCCGACCTTCTAAGACGATGTTCTCTACACTATCCGGCATTCTACATTCAATAATGGCTTTCTTTGCATAACCATCACCTTCTAGTTCAATCATCATAGCTCCAGGAATCTGGGCTAAATAATGCAACTTGTTTGGAGAGAGGGCCTTCTAAGAGGTTAAAGCATTTATCCGTACATATTCAAAGTAACTGTAACCGAACTTGTCATTTTTCGGTACGAGATCTCGGAAAAATCCTCCGATGCATTAGAAATTTCCATCATCTAGTAAAAGTTAAATAAAAAGAGAATGATACTATTAATTTGTGGGTGTGGTAGTGGTATGAAGGCTAGGCCATTTTCAGGGGTAACGGAACCTACTCCCATTGTTTCTTCTATCTAAGTACAGTTTTCCCAAGCCATGCGTCGTGGTTCTTTTCAAAATTGACAAAACTCCACTTCTATTTAAATCCCTGCACATTTTTAAGGATTGACATACACATATATCTTATCGGTGGTACATATAAATACCAATGAAACCGTCTGAGATAATTTTTTCATCTTGTAATCAAGCTTTAATCCCAATTGGGGGTTCTAGAATATAATGTGAATCGGATTTATCATGTAAAATCAAAAAGATCTAAATTTTCAACCGAGACAAAAAAAGAAATTAAATCCGGTTTGATTTCCGAAAACGATCTCGAGAATTTAATTGCTATATATAAGCCCCTCCTCCTCCTCCTGTCAAAAAAATTTTCATCAACAACCTTTCTTCTCTTCCTTTCATTCATTACAGTAACAGAATACAAACATACAAAAACAATGGCCTCTCATCCTCCTTCCACTTGTTGTCTTAAAGCTTCTTTCCATGAAGGTACCCCAATTGGTAAACATCAAGAATTATTTGGTGTAGATACTTATGTTGTTGGTGAATCAGATAAAGTAATTGTCATCATGACTGATATTTATGGTAACAGATTCAACAACATTATGTTGATTGCTGATGAATTTAGTAGAAAAGGTTACAAGGTATTAATCCCAGATATTTTATTAAATGATGCCATTGAATATGGTAAATTTGATTTTAGTACATTTGGTGAATGGAGAACTAGACATACTCCAGAAATTACTGCTCCAATCGTTGATGGATTCTTAAAACAAGTTAAGCATGAGATTAATCCAAAATACTTAACTGCTATTGGTTATTGTTTCGGTGCTAAATATACTGTTCAACAATTAGCAGAAGGTAAATATCTTGATGCCGGTGCACTTGCTCATCCATCAATGGTTACCATTGAAGAAGTTCAAGCTATTGCCAAACCAATTTTAATCTCAGCTGCTGAAGTCGATCAAAGTTTCACTAGAGAATTAAGATATCAAACAGAAGAAGAATTAACCAAAAAGGGTAATGTTAGATTCCAAATTGATGTTTTCCAAGGTGTTACTCATGGTTATGCTGTCAAAGGGGCTGAATCCGAACCTTTAACTAGATATGCTATAGAAAAGACTTTACAAGATCAAGTTTGTTTCTTAGATCATGTTAACTCTTTAAGATCAACTTAGAATTAGATTTTTATTTAGCAATTACTCGATAAAAATACAATGTAGTACATTTTCAAAATAAGCAATCCTGTTATTGTAGCAACCACCAACTCCTCTTAAAAGATGGATGCTGTAGTAGAATTATATGTAGTCCTTCTCAGCATTCAATGGCACTCGAAAATGTTCTCAAATTGGTTGCACAGAAAATTTGGGTGCAAAATATTTCATAGGAAAAAGATTTGGTTTATTTGTCCCTCCCGCCACCACTGTAATATTATAGCAAACGTTTCTACTAATAGAAATGTAGAAATACATGAGTCATTTTTGTTAACAATGAGCTAATAATATTTATAGACATTTCTGACTATAAAAATTCTATTACAGGTTTCATCTTCTGAATCCTTCCATTGCTCCCTTCTAGAACACCACCTCCTGAAAAAAGCGCGCGATGATGTCAACAATAAAAAAATTTTCAATCTGATTCCAATTAAACTGAACCCAGACAACCATCAAAGCTCCAAAGCCATGCCAACCGAATTAGAAGAACTCGTGTCGTTCCTCCACTCCCCACAACCAGCAGTTGTCCAAATTGCCTTAGACCACCTCGTCGGATATTCGCAAAGTTCCCACCAACAAATCTTCGCCTATGACAATTATACCGCTATCACAGACTTAAAGAACCTAAGTAAATCAACTGGCCGTACTACGGTTAGTCAATCTGTGACTATATTATCCAATTTATGTGGAGATTTAACCATGAGAAATTTGATAGTTGAAGATCTTGAATATTTGACTTATTTAGCTTCACAAATTGTTAATATTCATAATAGTAATGCTGATTTAATGTGTATTTTATTAACTAATTTAGCAAAGAATGATAATGTGAATAAGATCTTAGAATTCGAAGTTGAATTTGGTGAAGATGAACTGAAGAAGGTTTTCAAATCTAACAAAGTTATTGATTGTCTTATGGATTGTTTTGTTAAAGGGAATGATTATAAATTAAACAAATATGCCAATTATGATTATTTGGCGTATTTCTTTGCTGATCTTTCGAGGTTTGCTCAAGGTAGATCATATTTCATTACACAACAAGAATATGATAATGTGGTACCACTTTCCAAGTTGTTGGTATTTACTGAAAAATATGATACCAAGATTAGAAGAGAAGGGGTTGCTTCTACAATTAAGAATTCATTATTTGATACCAATTCTCATGAACGATTATTACAAGATTCAGAAATTAATTTATTACCATTTATATTATTACCCCTTGCTGGACCTGAAGAAATTGATGAAGATGAGATGTTTGATTTACCGGAAGAATTACAATTATTACCTTCCGATAAACAAAGAGAACCTTTACATGGGGTGATTTGTATTCATTTAGAATCGATTTTATTATTATGTACAACTAAACAAGGAAGAGAATATCTTAGAGAGAAATCAGTCTATTCAATTATTAAAACCTTGGACGCTGCTAAGAATGTGGAAGAAATTTCTGATTTATGTGATAGAATTGTACAAATGTTAAAAAGAGATGAAGCTCCTGAAGGGCAAGATGAAATAGATATGGAAAGTGATGAAGATGATGACAAGATTGTTGAGATTTTGTAAGAAAACTACCCTGCTAGATTAGTAATAGATTTTTTTGACTTTTTAATAGACGTGTTTTATATATAATAGTATTTGATAAGTAACTAGGGAAGCTATTCTTTAAGAACCAATTTCCCATCAACTAATTTCAAATTCTGTTTCACAATACTAATAATTCTCTGTTTATTATCCTTATGAGCACTGACTCTGCTCTTCAACCCAACCAACAATTCCTTAGTTGTCAATGGATTGTTTCTCACAATATCCAAAACATCATTTACGGTAACCAAAACACCATCAGGGCCTGCCGAATTCAAATCCATCGCTGGTGCTGTCACAGATGGTGCGGCCATATTTGTGGGAGAGCCTACCGGTGATCCTGGAGTAGGACTTATTGGTGGCGGTGATAAACTTGGTTCTTTCTTGATCTTAATCTTTAATGATGACTCTAATTTCACTTTCTTCGAAGGTGAAGTTGATACTATAACATCTGGAGATTGACGTTTACGTGCTTGAGGATTCCAATATCCCAATGGTAATGTTTGTAAGAATGACGGAGGTGCTTTTATCACCACAAACCCATCGCCAACATTATTAGCTACAAACGCCCTAACATGATGAATATTAGTTGTTTCATTTTCTTGCTTGATTCCATTATTATCAGTTGGTTCCTTTTTAACTTCAACTTCTTCATCGCTTTCTTCACCACTTTCTAAATCTGATTTTGATAAATATGGTAATAATCCATCTTCTTCATCATCACTATCATAAACTCCACCTTCTCGTTTATTCAAAACTTTCCTTAATTTCTTCCCTTCTTTATCAACCTTTCTAGTCTTTTCCGATTCAAATAAATCATCAATATCATCATCATTCTCAGCATCAGGTTGTCCATCAAAATGGGCTGCCTTTAACATTTCTCGTTTAATTTTCTTTTCCGATAATTTATTTTCTTCTTCATCACCATCCATAATTGGTGCTTCTTCATCATCAGCAAATTCTTCATCATAATCTAAATCATCATGATCGGAATCTCGATCATTCGATCCACTAGCTCCTCCCATCACCGTTCTTAATCCACGACGTCCACCGGGTCTACTCCCGCCCAACCCAGAACTACTTCCACTAGCATGAACAACTTGTCCATTCACAAGTACATTATTCCTAAATCGTTGATCGGGAGTACTTTCAGAATTCGATCTATCTTCCATATGTTTCATTAACCATCTTGGTACACTTGAATTTTTTTCCATTTTAGCTTCTGCTTCTTCTAAAGTCAATGTAGCATATTTATTTCTTGGAGTAAAACGATATACTTTTTCCGTAGGGATCATTTTAAATCCATCTTTATCAAATACAAACAAAACATGTTGGGATTCTGATGATCCACCTTCATAATTCCCAACAAAGACGTTTTTACCGGTGTAATCTTCAATTACCCATGGATAATGTTCTTCATAACGTAATTTCCTTTTAGCATCATCCATAAGATTGATTTGTCTGGTTTTACGTTTGAATAAGTTTTTCTTTTGTTTTCTTGCTCCTCCATCAGGGGCAACTTGTGACATATCGGCTTGATTTTTATTAACAATTTTCTTCCCATCTGGGGCAATTTTTGATGGATCGGCAACTTCCTTGACTTCTTTCTTATCAATCGCATCACCATCTTGTACGCCATCCTCTTCTTTGATCTCTGCTTTTAATCTCTCCCTTTCTAATTTCGCTTGTTCTTGTTCTCGTTTTCTAATCTCAATTTCTTCCCTAGTTAAATGAAATTGAATATTTCTGGGATCTTTTCGATGTAATCTAACTGGTTTATTAAAATCTTCAACTATGTTGACATCTTGCTTGGTGGCGAATTTCATAATATGGAATCTGATATCTTTGATGTCTTCTTGTGTACATGATTTAAGTGGAATATCTTGCCATCCTGAATTATTGGGTGTAGGGGATGATGTTCCTAATCTATCATTCGGTTCATTCTTAATTGTTGTGCTTACTTCCTGTTTGATCTGTGGCTGTTGTTGTTGATGGTTCATAATAGTTTAGTAATACACACAAAAGGGAATGAAAAAAGCGATTGCTGTTGTTTGATTCCTTCCTTTTTGAATTCTCTTCCGTTTAAGAGAGAGAGGCATTGATTTTTTTACTGAAATGAAAATGGAGAATGAATTTTTGGTTTTGTTTGAATTCATACGACATTCGAGAAATGTCTTTGCGATGATGTCGTATCTTTCATAACTTAATTACAATAGACTAGAAGAATCTAAACCCATGAAACGACTACCACAGACGTAAAATTGATTCTTGGCAACAGAACAGTTGCTCCCTGTGGTAGACTCTAGATATATCTCCTAGAGGTTGTGAGTTTCCTTTGATAAGTTGTATAAGAAATCTCAACTACTAAGATGTGGATCAATTTGGTCAAGCATACATCTTGTCCATCGAGCTTTTAAATGATACATATACAAACATAAGAAACAAATAGATACCCCTCTAACTATCTTAGTCATTCTATACAAAAACAACAAAATTATGTATCGCTTTGCTGACCAAAAAGTCATTTTTAAATTGTTGCGAAAAATGTTGATTATTAAAAGAACAAGCAATTGCAAAGTTGCAAAAAAAACAAAAAAAAAATTTATTCTCAACTCACCTTAGGGTAATATTATTATACACATGTAGACGATGTTTAGATAGGTTATTAAATATTTCTGACTTCCATCAAATTTATTTATTTATATTCAACCTTGATTAATACAATGAAGAACAGAAATATAGAGCATGCTAATGAATTTCTTGGGTCTAGGATACACTTTCGTTGTCTGGTAAAAACAACACCACACAATCGACAGATATAGAAGGACACCAATCCCTAAAGAATTAAATCTGTTTGTCTATTTTACTATTTCTTCTTCTTTCTATAAAGAAAGGACAGAAATAATTGTGTTTGCATGGAGCGAACAAGAATGACCACAACAGAAATCAACAAAACACCAACTATTGGAAGTTAGCTTAGGGTAATATGACCAGTTGGTCAACGATCGCTGCGCACACTGCCAATAAGTGCATGTCAGCGCAGTTGCTCGACCTATTTTAAATCTCTGTGATCAATGTCTGCTTTGTGACGAGGCAGAGGCTTGATATACCTGGCATAAATAATGTATCGTTTCCATCAGGCTGACTAATTACATATAAAGTAGTCCCACTATAACTGACAAATATCACTTTTCTATTTTTGCAACCTTTTGGTAGTGGATATTTTTATTTTAGTTGGAAATTGATCTGTGAGAAGCCCGCTTCAGCCCGCCGTTATCGGGCCCCCACTCCTGGATCTCACAAGAAATAAAAATTCAATATGTAAAATCTCGTAAAAAAAAATACTCAAATCATGATTCACCACAGCCACTCCATCACAGACTACCAATCCCCATCGCTTCCCCAATCATGTCCATCGTAGTAGAAGACAAAGAAGACGAATTATGGACCAATAGAGAAAACCACATCCCTGATCAACCACCACGTTATCTCGGTTTTGTAGCCGGTATGGCCTCCGGAGTGATGAAGAACGTAGTTGGACATCCCTTCGACACCGTCAAAGTCCGACTCCAAACCGCTCCCAAAACACATTTCAAAGGACCTATGGATTGTGTATTACAGACATTGAAAAAAGAAGGTCCATTGGGGTTTTATAAAGGATTTACTCCACCTTTAGTTGGTTGGGTATTAATGGATTCAGTAATGTTGGGATCATTACATGTTTATAGACGATTAGTTAAGGATAATTTATATCCTGATGAAAAGAAACTTCCATTATTTGGACATATAATTGCTGGATTGGGGTCGGGGTGGACTGTATCATTTGTAGCTGCGCCTATTGAACAATTCAAGGCAAGATTACAGGTTCAATATGATGCTAAGACGAGGATTTATACTGGTCCTATAGATGTTGCCCATAAATTATTTAAAGTATCCGGTATAAGGGGGATATATAGTGGGTTATTGTCGACTATGATATTTAGGACAAATTTCATCTTTTGGTGGGGGTCATATGAATTGTTTACTCAATGGTTTGAAAATAATACCCAATTATCTAAACCAGCAATTAATTTCTGGTCTGGTGGTTTATCAGCAAGTGTGTTCTGGGTGTTTGCTTATCCTGCCGATGTGGTTAAACAAACGATAATGACTGATTCTCCAATTAGATCGGAAAAGAAGTTTCCAAGATGGATAGATGCGGTTAGGTATATATATAGAGAAAAGGGTTTAAGAGGGTTTACAAGAGGGTTTGGACCCTCAATTTTAAGATCATTTCCAGCAAATGCGGCAGCATTGGCTGCTTTCGAAGCAGTTATGAGATTTTTACATTAGATATTTATAAACTAGAATAGAATGGATATTTATTATTATTAGTTATACAATTGGTGGTGTTGGGGATTATATAGAATTGTCCTCTTCTGAAGGAATTTTGTTCTTCTCCCAAGGTTTAACTCTTTGTGGTGCAGTTGCACTTGACCCTTGGTCGGTCAAGACAGTATCCGGGATCTCTTTGATTCCAGGCACGGGTTTCCCCGACATAATCAACTCAACCAACTGTTGATAGTTGGAAGAATATGGAGGATTATTACTTTGCGATGTGCTTTCTGGTTGTGTTTCTTCCATCTCTACATCCTTCACCTCAGTAATTTTCTTAAACTTATCTTCATTATGTAATTTCCAGTCTTCATAATCTTCAAGATTAAGAATATTTCCAGTATGATTACAAAAGAAGAATACTTTAGCTTGGTTAATTAATTGTTGTTTATCTAAAGCTGGAATTGTTGTTATTGATGGATCATTTTCTTGTAAATTACTTAAATAATTTTGTAAAATCTCTGATAATCCTTGTTGGAAATCTTCAAATGAATCCCAATCATAGTTTAAATATTGTTTGTAAACTTCTTCTTGTGGGTTACTACTTGACATGTTGTTGGATGTTGGTTGTTGGTTAGTTAGACAGAGCAACTGAACTGAAGAAGAAAAAGGGTGGGGCATTTGAAAAATTCATCCCTCGGTACTCTGAAAAAACAACGATTCAAATATTCACTATGAAAGACAGTCCTTAGTTTGATTCCGAACAACAACTCAAAGGAACAATAATAGCAATGATTCAAATACAAACGAAGTATATAATCATACTATCAATTCTTCTAAGAATTGGGTTTTTCTTATTTGGATTATATCAAGATAAATATATGTCAGTTCCTTATACTGATATTGATTATCTTGTATTCACCGATGCAGCTAGATTCGTTGATAATGGACTATCCCCATACTTAAGAGAAACATATAGATATACTCCATTATTGTCATGGATGTTAATACCTACCAATTGGGAACCAAAGGAAGTTTGGTATCATTTTGGAAAAGTTATATTTATGATTAGTGATATTATTACTGGATTGATAATTATGAAATTATTGAAATGGTCTGAGAGAAGGAGTAGTAGTAACAATAATAATAAAGTGATGACATTGTCTTGTATTTGGTTGTTGAATCCTATGGTTATTACTATAAGTACAAGAGGCTCATCTGAAAGTGTACTTACTGTAATGATTATGTTATCATTATATTTCTTGTTGATCACGGAGAATTTGGTTATTTCAAGTATTTGGTTAGGATTGTCTATTCATTTTAAGATATATCCAATTATATATCTACCAAGCATATTGTATTACTTATCCAGTAAAGGGAAACCAATTGTTAACTTACCATTATTGAATTTATTAAATGTTAAGAATATCAAATATTTGACTATTACACTTTTAGCAATAGCAGGATTGAATTATATTATGTATTGGAAATATGGATATGAATTCTTAGAACATTCATATTTATACCACTTAACCAGAATAGACCATAGACATAATTTTTCAGTTTACAACATTGCATTATACTACAAGTCTGCTATCACTAGTACTACCACCACCAACAACTTTCAAGATATTGAAAAATTTGCATTCATTCCACAATTATTAATCTCAGCAATAATATTACCATTAACATTTGCAAAACAAGATTTAATCTCAAGCTTATTCTTACAAACATTTGCATTTGTGACATTTAATAAAGTAATGACTTCCCAATATTTCATATGGTTCTTAATATTCTTACCTCATTTCTTATCAAAATCATCATTAATTACTTCAAAGAAATTACTAGGAATCATAGCATTATTGGTTTGGATTGGTTCACAAGCGAGTTGGTTATATTTCGCATATCAATTGGAATTCTTGGGCATTAATACTTTTGATCATGGATTGTTATACACTTCAATTATATTCTTCTTATCCAATTGCTGGTGTCTATCAGTATTCATCCTTAGTCTTATATAGGGCCTTTACATTGATACATATTGCGACATTTTTGATTGTACGACATTTTCCGAATTTTTCCGTTTCGTCCAATGCGACAATTTTTTCTTTCGAAGAGCATCACCAACTCCATCTCATGTTTACTCTGTATAATTAGTATATAAACACTGCTATAGAAACACAATGGAATTATATTCGCCCGAAGGATTAAGAATAGACGGTAGGAGATGGAATGAATTGCGTCGATTTGAATGTCGTATAAACACCCATCCAAATTCATCAGATGGATCATCATTTGTAGAACAAGGAAATACGAAAGTAATGTGTATGGTACAAGGACCAAAAGAACCATTATTACGATCGCAAGCAAACAACGAACAATCAACCATAGAAGTGAATCTAAACATTGCCAGTTTTTCTACATTTGAACGTAAGAAACGAACTAGTTCTGAAAAACGAGTGGTTGAATTAAAAACTACCCTTGAAAAGACTTTTGAACAAAGTGTCATGGGTCATTTATATCCTAGGACAATGATACAGATAGACGTCCAAGTCTTGGCTCAAGATGGTGGATTGTTGGCGGCGGCCACGAATGCAATTACTTTGGCATTAATAGATGCCGGGGTGGCCATGTATGATTATGTATCTGCCATAAGTGCTGGTCTTCATGATAGATCTCCATTATTGGATTTAAATAATTTAGAAGAAAGTGATATGAGTTGTTTAACAATTGGGGTGATTGGGAAAAGTGAGAAATTGGCATTGTTATTGTTGGAAGATAAAATGCCGTTGGATAGATTGGAATCAGTGTTGGCTATTGGGATTGCTGGAAGTCATAGAATAAGAGAATTGATGGATAATGAAGTTAGACGACATGGAAATATGAGGTCTTCAAAGTTGACCAATTGAGCTCAAGTTTTGGGTATTAAAGAATATAGCAAAATGTAAATTATAAAATATAGATATACGAGTCTATTGCCGGGTATTTGCGACTGATACCATGCGATTCAAAGGAATGCAGGGCAGTTTTTCTTCTCTCGATTTAACAATCTTCGCAATTTATGACTGACATAGAAGCCTTCTTATCAATATTGTCTCCGTTTAGTACCTGAATTGCATAAATTTCAACTAGCAATTTACAGCTAGATTCATAGAATAATAATCTTTTAACAATTTATGTGTTTTTCAATAACATGTTCATACATAAAACTAAACTAATAAATACGCAATCTCTTACATAATTTTCGTAATCATACTAAACAAACATAGCAAAACCGCAAATAGCCATAGCAAACATTAACATTTTCCCACTAACGGTTCTTACAGCAGAATCTTCAATCGGTAAAATAGTGGCATCGGGAGAAGCAACAGACAATGTTGCCGTCGGATCTTGCTTACCAGTCGTTCCCAGAATTTCACTTACAACAGGTGATATCATCATTGTCACATCAGACACAGTTCCATCAGAAGTTGTTCTCACTATTGTTCCGTATGGAGAAGCATACTTTCCAGTAGTAGATGCGGGCACTGTGATATCCAGAATTGTTTTTCCGGGCTCGATAGTACCAGCACTGTAGCTAACGGCTCTGGTTGTAATGGTTATAACTGTCGAAACGGTACTTACTATCTTGTCAGTTGTTGCCGTTGTAGAAGTGGATAATATTGACTTGGTAAACGAGCTTGTAATAACAGTTGATATTGTGTCCGTCTTGTTGGATGTAGATTCTGACTGAGTTGTATCTGTAGCTGTTGTGGTTGCCGTCTCGGTTGTAATCATGGTTGTACTTTTTGTATCAGTGGTACTAGTGGTCGACGATTCAGGTTCTGTGCTAGACATAGTTGTTCTAGTGGCATCCAGCTTATCAGATAACGTAGGTTCAGACAGTGGTCCTACAGTGCTTAGTTCCAGAGGAGATGCTGTGGTGGGATCTTGTGGTACAGAAGATGCTTCCGTGTCGGTTGCGCTACTGTCCTGCGTTTCACTCCCTGTTTGTTCACTTGAATCCGCTCCTGATGGAATCTCCAGAGTTGATTCGGAATATGCACTACTAGTTACAATAGTCGACTCAGGTTCGGAAGTCGTCGCTGCTATTTCTGAAGTTGACTCAAGTTCGGACGAAGTAGTTGACTCAGGTTCCGAAGTACTTGATTCTGCTTCTGAAGTAGTTGATTCTATTTCCGAGGCACTGGATTCTGGTTCTGTGGTAGTGGATTCTATTTCTGAAGTGGCGGATTCTCTTCCTGCAGTGGTTAATTCTTCTTCTGAAGTAGTTGACTCAGGTTCCGAAGTTGTTGATTCTGCTTCTGAAGTAGTTGATTCTATCTCTGAGGCACTGGATTCTGGTTCTGTGGTAGTGGATTCTATTTCTGAAGTGGCGGATTCTCTTCCTGCAGTGGTTGATTCCTCTTCTGAAGTAGTTGATTCGGGTTCTGATGTAGTTGCTTCTGGTTCCGAGATTGTTGAAGTTTCCTCGAAGGTAGAAGTCTCGGGTTCAACCTGAGGTGTGATTGTAGTCCAACGATCATCAGTGGTAGTAATTGTAAGTGTTTCAGTACGACCAAGTGTTGTTTGAGTTGAAATTGTAGGCATGGTACCTGGGAATTCAGTAGGATCTAGGAATTCACAATTACAAGTACAAATGTTTGCTTCTGCTGGAATAGTCAGATACTTGATATCAAGTATGGACATGCCGGAGCCACCGAAGATAAACTTGCTTTGATCATAGCCTGGTCCAACATCAAGAGTAAATTCTTCTACAATTCCCAGGACAGCGCCTATTTCAAGATATGGCAGATTATAGCTGATCCATACCACGTTTACATGAAGGCGAATCACGTTCGTACCACCAAACTGCGCCAACCAGACTATAGACGGAATGGATTCGGTTAAATCAAGGACTGTTCCTTCCTCCCCATTTGCAGAAAAGCAAACTTTTGAAAGCAAATCTGTCCGAGGCATCAATTTCGCCTTATTCAGTAGTTGAATACATCCTGGGTTTCCCATGGGCTTGGTTTCCTTTTCGATTGCAACCAATGCATTATTTCGAATGCACATTTTTCCCAGATTCATTAACTCAGATATTACAATACTACCCACGTCAACAAAAAAATTGGCATCTTCATAATTCTTCAATGTATTGACCCGAGGTTCTAGGCTTGGATTGGTCAAATCCTTAAATTCCATTTGAGCGAAGTTTTCGATTGTTTCAAATTCATAAGTTTGAGGAGTAATGTATCTATTATTAGTGTCGAACCGGAAAATTCCGTTATTCAGAATGGCTCCAAATGATATTGTAGGAAGTAACAGCGAAGTCCCTAGGACCCATGTGTAGAAAAGTTCTCCTCCTGTATTGACATTGATGGTTCCGAGTGGACCATAAACATCAACTAGAGACAATGTACCTGAAATCTCATAATTTTCGTTGTCTGGTATGTCCCCTCTAAGAATAAGTTCTTCCTCTACTTGGATACAATTTGAGAATGATATAAATACTAGTATTGGTAATAGCAAATGTAAATGGTTTAACATTTTGGCAAAGCTGTTTTTGATTGGGAAATATAAATACAAGAGAGAGTTAAGAGAAACTGGCAGAATTGCCAGTTCTATTGTGTGCCTTTATAGCTATTTCTAATGAAAGTCATTCGATGGACTTCTGCAAGATGAGTGACCTTTAACTATCTTAAGACCGAAATGATATAAATATTATGCATCCTTCAGACCAATGCCGTTGGATAAGATGTTTTATTAAAATTGTTGCAAAAAGAAAAAAAAACAAAAAATAATTGCAAAAAAATAATTTAACTAACAATCTAACTCATAGAAAATTATTTAATCGTCATTATGTTTTTGTTTTGAATCTTATATGCATATAAATGACTAGAAAATAATGACAATTTTAATACTATGGATAAGCCGATGATGTTCACATCATTTTTTGTTTCCCTTCATTAGAATGTATTGTGAGTGTCAGTTATGGATTCCCCTGAATCTTATATTACAATCAAATATTTTCATTCTTTCATAAAGTATCAACTTTATAGTGTTTAATCAATTGCGAGGGAACCAAAAAGAATCTAAAAGCCAATCAGAAGAGTACACGATTAGTTTTCTGAATCAACAAGAAAAAGGAATGCCAAACATTTGAAAAATAATATTGGTATTTGTGTTTGGTGACCATCGGCTCTAAAATCTAGAAAGATCTTATTGAAGCGAGTTAAGAGTAACAAATTATTTAAATATTTCACGTAGGAGAAATTACTATTATTGTTTCAATTGCCCCTAGAGTTTTGCTCACGGAGAAGATAGCAT